GGGCTTTTATGGGGTTTAGGTGGGCAATAATTACCTTCAGGCTCCATCTATACAGCTGTCCACTTACATTGGTGGGAGCCATGCAGTCGTGCTCGTTGAGCCGCTTTAGCGGTTGAAGTGCTTGGCTATTTGGTTGCAGAGCATGTGAGCGGATGCCTTCGGGTTTTACAGTGGAGACTACTCGCATGGGCATCGCAAAATGGTAGAACGGATGCTCTTATACTTGGTTTGGGGTTTACAGTTTGACAGGTGGTTCAGCGCATGGGGCCAGACAGCAGTGATGTTTTGCAAGAGGGTCGAGCTGCAAATATCCAGGTCTGCAGAGACTTCTTTACCGGCTACGAGGCGGGTGGTCAGATGCACCTAGCTGCCACCCGCTCCAAGACACAACGCCCCGTTGACGCAAAACACTATTGAGACAAGGTTCGCAGCAAAAAGCCTGGTTCAGAATAAACACAAGCCTAAACCGAAACCCGAACTGTAAACGAGGTTCTAGGTTGCTTAATCTCGGTAGTTTGTGCAGATCCCATCTTCATGTGCCTTGCATGTGTGAGACAGCCCCACTGCACGCTGCACTTTGAGACATCCTCCAGTTGCACAAGAAGCCTTCTGAGCCTCAATTGAGAAGTATAACTATAACCTCCATCATATGGAGGCTCCTTTTATCGTTCAAGATCGATGCCTCAATTAAGGGCTTCTTTTGTGTTAGGGGCACCTTAAGATCGAGCCTGCATACAACACAGGTGGACTGGACGAATGACGGCTACTGAGCCCGCGGGCCCTGAAGGGGCTGTCAAAGCAGAGCCTTTGTCCTGCCTTCTCTGTAGACGTTGCCACAAGCCGTCTCAGTGGGAGTGGTACCTGACGAGCACTTTCCATTGCCAGCCGAAGATGCTCCAGGCATCTAGACCAACAAATGGCACAGGACCATTTTGTAGGGTTCTCAATAAACAGAAGGGTTTTGAGGTGTACTAGACTATAATTATAATATGGAATATTTATTCATGTCTTTATATCACGCACCAAGAATCAAAGAATGTCGCCCGGCATGTCGGTGCGTGAGCGCCGAAACCGCAACAGAGCTGGGTCGACCTCGGCATTGCAGTATTGCTGATGCAAAACCAACATGAATAGGGTGTTGTTGGGTTCGGATTTGGGAGTTCCGATTTTGGGGTATCCAGGCACGAGTACAAGGTTTTCGGGCGGGAGCCTTCTGTTCCTGAACTGGATGATTCTGATGTAGACTTCGAGGTGCAGGACCTGGGTTTGAGGTTTATAAAGTGCTCGGCGTTTGGGGGTCCACTCCAGGGAATTTAAGTTGGAGTTGTGCTTGTGTCGGCATTGCGGAGCCTAGGTTTTCGGCTTCGGGTCGGACGGCTGAGATTGTTGTTGCCATGACGGTTACGAGACCGCATCGTCTTTATGATGCATCAGTAGCATCATCACCAGCACCACCATCATCATCGGCAATGTCAGTGTGGCAGCATGTTTAGTCACTTGCCGCACCAGCAATGCAGCTACATGTGCTCACAGTATATGCAGATGTCGTCTTGTGACCATACCCTTCACCACTGTTGCGATTCGTTGTCCCATACTCGCGCCTGTCTCTTCGTAGTCCTCCTTGTGAGCTTCAGCTCTATATGCCGACTCGCAACAGATTGCGACTTTCAATTGCGCGGGGAACATTGCTGCAAACCTCTAGCTCTTCATCTGCACCGACCCTGGAGAGCATATAGTGGTGGGGCTTACACACAGATCGAGTATTTTGAGCATAGCTTGAGCCCAGCCTGCCTAAAAACCCCGAGCCTGCCTTTTCTGTTGGTGTCGAGTTATCAACCTTCCGAAACCTGAACCCCAGACCCTTAGTTTCCATCCCAGCATCACACTTGGGCTTCCAACTCGCCCCGCGATGACTGTTGAAACAAAGCCAAACAGCTAAACAAACATGATTCCCAAAGGTTCCGCATTCTAACTATACTACAATAGAACCCGAAACATATTCAAATTCGCAAGACTCCTACATTAAGCCACCACCCAGGCCGGTACCCGGAACTTGCTTGTGCCGACGCCCGAGCCTTATGGTTCGGGGATGTAGGGTTTACGGTTTAAGGATCTAGGGTTTAGGGGTTTAGGGTTTTACTGCTTAGGGTTTGGGTCAGGGCACACGTCCTGATGCACAAGGAGGGTTTAGGGTTTGGGGCATCCCGGCTCGAGTCCGCAATCTGGGTTTCAGGCTATGCCTTAACCTGCCACGCCTCCTAGGGTTGGGGTTCGGTTGGGGTTTAGGGTAAGTTCGATGTCTGGATTTGTACCACTTGTTAAAACCCTACAGGCAAGTTGTTTATTGTCACTTTTTGTGGTATAGTTTGAAACTGGCGATTGGGATGTAGGGATCATCAGGCCTGAGAAAGCCCCCGGGTCCTAGGCAAAACTTTCGGGCTTTGGCCCCTCCGTTGCGTTGACAGTGGACAAACTGTGCTACGATCTACGACTAGGCCATGAAACATCCGAGGGCGAAAGCGCGAACATCACCATTCTGTGGTTTGACACTTCGAAATCCATGGCAGTGCTACGCGCCTTGTCAGTTTGGGATGTTAGTGGAGAGGTGCTGTTTGCAAGCTCTTGAAATAACATAAACCCAAGGGAGTTATCTAACCAACTGTCGATCTACAGGGCTTATCCTACAGCAAAGGCAGCAAAGGTTTCTCATTCCATGTATTTGTAAAGATGCGTTCGTGTCTGTGGCTTTGGATTAGGTTCTGGGAGACTAACAGCTTGAGGGAGCCGCATGGAAGTTCATGCCCCGGAGCTATGACAGGCGTCGGGAGGTTTTCCTCGTCGACATGTCACATTGGGTCCTTTCCGGTTCCTGGCTTGCTCAGTGCAGTCTCGATGCGAGAACCGAACCCAGTACTGTACATGCATTCAGCCCGCAACCCTATCCCCTAAAGTCTTCTTACTTACACTTACGACCTAAACCGCAGTCGATCAGGAATCTTCCTCTAAAGGACACATGCAGTTTGTCAGAAGCTCCCAACATGATGTTGCACAGCGGTGCAGGCTTATGGCATCGGGAGCCCACGGCTTCTGAAAAGCGCCATGAGCCTGAGTTGCCGTGCAGGGCTTGAGAAACAGACCAGACGTGCCGACTTTCTCAAAGAACGTTCGCAACCGAATACAGCGGCCTTAAGATTAGAAAAGGCATGTGGAGTATGTCTAGACTTCTTACCTTGGGATTCCTTCTGGGACCTGAAGGCTTTCTGGCCTCCAGCACCGCATCTCGACCGGGATTGTGATAGGGTTTGCGGTACATCCTCAACCTTAAAGGATCAACAAGACCCTCAATCATAGCTGCGGGCTTTAGCTTTCTGGACTCAAACAGTGAAGCAGATGCCCGTAGAGGCACTCTGCCATGCTGCCGAGACGGAAACCGCGCCGAAAAGCTTCGCGCGCATTGGTGTTCCGGTGTTTATGGGCTCCTTGGAGACTTTTCCAAGGCTTCACAGCCCCGGACGCAAAAGTTGTACCAAAGTTCAGCAACCCAAATAACCTAGATTTAAGGACTTATATAATAGAAATCATAATAAGAAGCCCTTCCAGGTTAGGGTTAGGTTTGATAGGGCACTGAAGCCCAGCCTTCGTTTACTTTCTTCGGGCGTGTGTTTCCTTCAACAAGTCCAGCTGCAAAGAGGATTCAATACCCGATATTCATGATCCTGCCGTGCCGGAAGGCTTGTAGAGCTCTCGGCAATATGGACTCCAAATTCCGTTCAGTAAGTGTGCCCTGCTATGGAGTCTGTGAATGTCGGAGCTAGTACAACTTGCAAAGCGATTTGAGATTTTAGGGGATTGTAGGGCCATTTTTGATAACCTGCATGCACCGCAAAGAGGTTGATACACTTGAGGGTCCGCGAAGGAGGGGAGTGAAGATCCCTCCTTAAAGGTTTAGTGTTTTATGCCAGCTTATGGAGACGATGCCAAATTCTAGGGTTGAGTGGCGTTGGCTTCTTGTCTTTGCTTGGTGGGGTGGTTGTTTTTGCAGATGGGCTTCAGGCTTTGCGAGGCTTTTGGGTAGTTGGGAGGTTTCGGGCTTTGGTCAACAAGAGCCTAGGGCTTTCGGGAGATTTTGCAGCCTACAGTGTGATTGTCAGTCTATGTAAACAGATCTGAAGGCTTTGAGCATGGCGATCAACGCTTGTGGCTCTAGCTTTGTCTCTGCGCGGAGGGTGTCAGGAACTCCAAAGGACCTCAATCCAGGATCTCTTAACTGCGGCTTTTAGGGTTTAGGGTTTAGGATCAGGTAACCAGAATCACAGAAGTTCAGCAGTATGTTTGTTGAGGCTTTTGGGTTGTTAGGTCGTTTCACGCAGGCTGCATTTTCTGCTCGGGGATCCCAATATTTGGGATTGAATCTGGGGTATTACCTCGAGACGTTCAGACACTGCAGAGAATGTATATGGTCAGTGGGACATCCGCGCAATACCGCCATGACCAACACCGGAGATGAGGACGCTTGGGCTGCACTGAAGGGGTCGGTGGGGGGACAGCGTGGTACTCCCTCATCAAGAAATCGGCATTCGCAGTCCACACCCAGGTTTCGAGCAAAGAGCATGAGTATTAGGACCAATTACTGGTGGATGGAATCCTGCAGAAGAGGTGACCTCGTACCTTCTAAGTACAGCCATGGCCTATGAACAGGTGGATTGCCTCTGGACAGAGGCCAAACCGTTTAAAGCTTCTGAACTCGCTCTGGTTTTTCAAACCTTGTCTATCTCTTCGTCTTCCTCCTGCTGCGACTGCTGCGCGGAATTAGAGGGAGTTTAGACTTGAGCTTGGCGTTCAGTGGGTGAAGTTTCGCCGTTTGCAGCCCGCAGGCTCAGGAACCTGGCGCCTAGGCCCAGCGAGCACAGAGTAGAATTCATCGGTTTGTTGCGAGAGAAGCTCTTCTCTCGCTTTCCGCTCTGCAGCCCCCTTGACGTTGCTCAGGGGACCGCAGATGCATGGCCACGCTAAAATTGGCATCCTCTCGAAAACGCCGCTGCAGAGCTGGGGTAGCACTGCTGCTATTCGGACTCGGTCTTCGGACCGTCTGGGCAGCGGCTGTTTTCACTCACCCTGCCGTGCTTGGCACCAGGACTGAGGCACTGTAGCACTGCGGCCTGAAGCCAGTGCAGAGCAAACGTCCGGAAGCATCCAACTGCTTGTCTGTCCAATAATCCCGGATGTTTCCTGGCTTTGTCGTTGTCTAGACCAAAACCCCATTCCTCACACAGTTTGTCTCAAAGATAGAGGACTTGGCATCGCAGACTTGGCATGGGCAGGGGTGCTGTGGTCGCCGCAGCGGAGGAGCAGCGTCGCTCGGTTTCCAAGGAGTGGGACAGTGGGACTGGTCCTGAGCCCATGACTGCTTGGCCCATAACTGCCCCAGCGTCCCCAAACCTATTTGTGGCACGAAGAAGGTAGAAGATGCAGGGCTCGAGACTAGAAGGAGTCAAAGCTTCGAGTGTTGCTCGGGCATGAGACGAAGCAGTGAAATCTTGAAGTTAAACCTCTGACCACGGCTCAGCATTTCTGAGGCGACGAGGCTTTCATGGAGCGCCTGCAAAGGCTGGCACGGGAGGCAGCACACACGAAGTCTCTCTTAATTCACGTATCCATGTTAGAGCAAGTTGGAGGGTGGTCCTAATTCATGAGTTCATGGCAAGGAAGAATGCTCGCCATCACCCGCTAGTGGCAACCAGATTCGTTCCACATGTTTCCGTGATCTGTTTTCTTTACAACACCGTGTTGTTGAGGGCATGCCCTAAACAGCCCCTATAGACCCTAAACCCAACTCGAAGATTGGAGGCGCTGACCTGGCCTTTCCTCGAGGACCGCCAGCGGCTCATTTGGGCGGCCGTGCTGGAGTTCAATGCTGTGCCGACCCAGGAGTGATGTTTGCAGGCTGCGCATGCTTCAACTCCTTCGGTGGATGATATGTAGCCATACTTCCTTGCCACTTGCCTCACGACTGCAGAATACTCTATGGGTCGGATACCGCGTGCCTGTAGTCGAATGCAGGACTTGCCACCATGGTTTTTCGAGCGGCAAAACTTCACTCGCCGGCACCTAGGCCAGGATTCGCAAAACAAAACATGCCGAACGAACGTTGCTTCGTGTTTCTTGCAGGCGTGGACCTTTGCAGCCTGGATGGAAACAGGGCGATTCTTTGCCGCGTGGACAACGCCACGCTGCAGGATGTGAAGAGGTTTCTGCGAACCGCAAGATGCCTGGGTGAGGCGGGGCAACTTCCCGCTCTTTTGATAGGATATTACGGGGTTCCCAAATACTGTATCGGAAACGACAGGTCCGCTTAGTAAAAGTGCATCAGGTTCACCCGCACTTCAGTGATCTGCAGTGCATGTACAGGATCCACAATGCACGCTCTGGACTCTCCGTGGCTGCAAAATCGCCGGCGACTCCAAGAAGTGCCTGCGCAAGTACGGCTGCCAGCGCGAGATCCTCACCAAGACGAGGCTGCTCGACCTCATGCAGGATTCCGCTTCCGGTGCACTTACATCCGGGGAGGCGCCTCGTGGAGGCGGCGCAGCACCGGACCCGCCCTTGCGGCCCTGCCAGGAGGCCTGTTTGGAGGCGTGCGCCAAGGGAGCTCGGGTCATCGAGATGGCCTGCGGCACCGGGAAGACGCGCGTGATCCGGGAGTTGGCGGCGCAGCAAACGGGCAAGGTGCCATGGCAAGATGCATTTCTGAAGCACCGGGCCATTCTTAGTTGATTTGAAGACGAAGGCGCCCAATGCAACAGCGATACATGTGAGTTGCATGTAATTGCACGCCCTCTCTTAAGTCTCGTTAGGTGGCCGGCATCACTTCTATAGACTCTGTTTGTCAAGGTCTTGGTTGCGGTCCCGTCCCGGGTTCTGCTGGAGCAATTCGCTCAAGAGATGCCCGACTTCTGCAAGGTGGGCACCAACTACAACAGCAAGATTGACTTGGCATCACGGCGGTTCGTCGCTGTGAGTGATTCTGTGCGGCTTCTGGAGAAGCTCGAATTCGAGGCGGCTTTTGTCGATGAAGGTCATCACCCGTTGCCACCGGGAATGCCGAGCTGCAAAGATCTCTTCAGGTTCTCGGCGACACACGCGGGAGGAGTGGATTTCAGGTATAGCTTGGGTGAAGCGATCGAGCAGGGAGTCCTATGCGAGTACGATCTCACGGTGCCCGTGACCACAGAAGGCCATCCCTACATTTGTCTAGCCAACCTGTTGATGGCACAAGCCGGACGATTTCGACGGGTGCTCGCATACTGCAACTCCATTGCAGAAGCGAGGCGTTTCCAGCAGGTGTTGGAGATTACAGGGTTGGCAGCGTGGCACATCAACGGGGATACCAGCCGCAAAGTGCGAGAGAGAGTGATGAACGAGTTTTCGGGTGATTTGCAGAAGCCCTTGCATGTACTGGTGACGGTCCAAGTCCTGGGCGAAGGCGTCAATATTCCGAACGCCGATACCTGCATGTTCGTGGAGCCGCGCAGCAGCTACGTGAGCATCATCCAAGCCATCGGCCGGGTGCTGCGGCCCCACTCGACCAAACCCTTGTCGCATGTCGTGCTGCCCGCGATTGCGGTCCCTTCCATGCCCAACACAGACGGAGCTGTTAGTCGTGCTTTGGACGAGACCGTGAAGAGTCCCGAGTCCGATGCACGACTGTCTTCCTCTGTTGAGGTTCAGGGGCGCACAGAGGCAGGCCACAACACGACATTATGCCCGCAGGTGACGGCGAAGCGTGTCCATGACGACCCTCTGCAACTCCCGGTGCCTCTGGGTAGGTCGGCAGCTGGTGGGCATCAGCTGCCAGAGGAGCTTTCAAAGGATTTCGGTGGTCGAAGTGAGCCTGAACCAACTGAGCATGTTGCCAATGCTCTGGGGACTGCGTCTCCCGGGCTCCGGACAGACGCCCTCTCTGATGGTGCTGGCGACTTGCTCTCACCAGCTGAACTACCATGCACCGAACTCAGCACCGACGGGAACGGACGGACTAGCCCGGATCACAGCCAGGTCGACATGGCAAGACAGACGTCTTCTCAAGCTGGGTCTGGAAGCAAGCCAGTCAGTTCTACAATTGCAAGATCTGCAAATCAAGTCGCGACTGCACCGATGCAGCAACCAGCTCGACCACTGCATGGTAGAACCTCGGGCAAGGGTTCCGTGAGTTCCGTGTTGACGCCGAGCCCACATGAGATTCCGACGCCTTTGTCACAAGACCAGGAGTTTCAGCAGCATCGGCCGCAAGGTTGTTCGGCCAGCGTGCCACGAAAGACAGCCACGTCGAAACTGAAGTTGAACAATCTTCTTGAGGACGGCCATGCTAGCCAGCTCGACAGGTTCTTGGAGGCGATAGCTAAGGTGGACAGCCGATTGGCTTATGCGGACCTCAAGCATTTGCAGTCTCGTCTTTGGGTGATGGACTGCAGGCTGCAGCAACCCCTGTCACAGAAGCTCCCGGTCCGCAGCGTGCAATATCAATTGGCCCTCATCCTGCAGCAGCACGATTCATGGGATCTGAATCTGCGAGCAGTCGAGCAATATGCGCAAGACCGCGGCAGGCTGCCACGGCAGGTATCCCCTGACCCAGAGGAGAGGCGCTTAGGAGATTGGCTACGGCAGGTTGGCGTCTTTCTCAAAAGGCAAAAGCTTGCGGCTACCAGGGTACAGAAGCTTTCGATGTCTTCATGCAGCAGTTTGAGATTCCGCTTGGCGAAGTGGCTGAAGGCGGGGAGCCCTTTCGAGCGATGCGTGAAGAAGGTGCGGCAGTTTGTTCAGCTTCTTGGCAGGATGCCCGCAAGCCTCCGAACGAATTCCAGACAGGAGCGTAAGTTGATTGCGAACCTGCAGTCCTTTGTTGCTCACACAAACAAAAAACGTGAACAGCGCCTTCAGTATCTTGAGAATCAGGGGCCCATCATTGCGCAGTGGGCGAGGTCAATGCGAGCTCGAACGCTCCGTTTGCCCAATAAGTTATGGAATCGACAATTTGGCCGTCTGGTTGAATTCCTAGAGATGAGGAATAAGATGCCGGCTGTACGAGGAGGCCCTGGCCGGGAGCTTGCTCTCTACTCTTGGTTGTCTAAACAGCGATCGTGCCTGGATCAGCTCCCGTCGGAGTTCCGAGAAAAGTTGTTCGCTTGCCATCCGGCAGTCGCATGTTTCCTGCAGGATGAGCGAGGTCGCGAAGGGCCTTCGTCGTAGCTCCCGCGGACCACGCGTAGTGTGTCCAGTCTCTAGCCCAGAAGTGCTTTTGGCTGTTCGGATGCAACCTGTCCCTGCATCTCGACGTGCCTGGTCGTGAGCGAATGTGTACGCCTTGCGGCCGACCCATGCGACATTGTTGTATTGCTTTCTGTGCGGGCAGTTTGGAAAACAAATAACCTCGCAACAGCGATTGCAGCTGCCGGGATTTTGAGCCTTCGCTTCTGATGGTATCAGATATGATGCAACTTATTGTGGTGCATCGGCTTCTCCCTGCTGGGCATCCAGCAGGGAATGCGGGGACCGCTTTCTGGTTAAAATCCTACGTGGAGCGCATCAGGTAATTAAGAGACAACAAGTATATAATGGGCATAATCAGAAAGGTGTACATATATATATATATATACATATATATATATATATATATATATATGAAGCACTGCGAAGCGCGGCCACCAAGGACGTTGTGTCCCAGGCCTTCTTGGACATGGCGGCTTCCTTGACAGCGGACTATCTGCTGCAAAAGTCGACAGTGCGCGGTGGGCTTGGGGAAGTTCTTGAGAGTGGGGTTCATGCATTTTAGGGCTTGTAGCTGACTGGCTGAAGGTTTGAAGTGTGTGTGGCTCATTTCGATTCTGTTCAGCAATACCATCACAGTATCTTCCATACCGCTGTCGGTATTAATGTCTGTGGTTGTGCTTTTCCTAGTCGTTCCTCATTATCGCGATGTCCCGGTTACGGTGGGAGCCTTGTGAAGAGAAAATCTAGGACCAAACGCCTCTAACAAGGAAGCCTACAAGACGGGAACAGTCCATCTCCGGCACTTCTTAACATCTTAGCCCTTATCCGCAAGCCCTGAGCTCAAGATCTTGAAGGCCTTCCACCCCGGCAACAACTTAGCAGAACAGCGGCCTTGCAGAGTTTTCAAGAGACCCTAAACTTTACCTGTAGTTCCTTGTCCTGTCGAGGATGCCGAAGTCGAGCTGAGGAGTGCAAAGCTCGGAAGTTTGCAGTATAGCAAGCCAGACAAGTAGCCTCGCTTTGTTGGTGAGTGTTATATGACAGCAGTCCTGACTAGTTGCTCTAATGCATTTGGTTTTCAGAGTCTAAGCTTGAAATCTAGTGTTGCAAGGTATGGGGTTGCCCTTGACCCCTCAGCCCAACCCTTAACACCCTGAAATCAACAGAGTTGTTTGGTTCTGCTTGAGGGGTGTAGAGCTCATAGGTTACATGATAAACATGTGTCGTTATATACATATATACATGTATATATATATATATATCTACGTATAAATACATACATATATATATATATACATCTGTTCATTTATTTATATGCATGCATGTATGTATAGCTACATCATTGCTCCAAGGCTTCTTTGCTGCCGAGCTGCCGACACCGACCTCGAGAAGGCCAACCTCTTACAGGAGAACCTGCGCTGATTGCTTGAAGTCGGTGTCCTCCGTCTGGACTGTGCAAGAGATCCTGTTGCAACCCTGCAGTCGAAACCTACAGCCCAAACCCTGAGCACACTTCATAAGCCCTAAACCATGCAACCCTAGCTCTATCATATGCGTTTGCTATATGCAGCTCTTGTGCCCTTTCCTGCATGCTGACTCGGCGTTGCTGTGCGATTACTAACCGTTACCTACCCTTCGCAAGTCCGATACACTGACACTTGAGGAATCCTTTGACAAGCTGGAAGCTCGTTTACATAGCTGAGAGTGCACTGAGTCTTTTGCGCTGTTTGCATCGATCCAGCTTCTCATGTCATCCCGGACCAGTGGGCACATGCCCCGCCCGGAGAGTCCGAGTGTCAGCGCGCCGATGACCCTGGAGTTTAGGTGGGGTTGAGGGCTCGGGCTTCGAATCTGTCAGTCTGAGAAAGTACTGTTCTGAACAGTAAAAATACCAAGAACAGTCCCAGCACTGTTAGACCCTCTGGATGCGGCGGCAGAGAGAGGGAGAGTGTTACAGCACTGTTGCAACACGAAGTATAAACACAAGCTACTTCAGGTTTAAGATGGGGTTTAGCGTCCAGAATTTTAATTGATCCTCACGCCCTGAACTTGCCCAAGCCCTATTCATCATTTTGTGGTCGCCATGTCAGGGCCGCCACATCGGCGCTGTGCGCGCTTCTGGCCCCCAAGCTGCAACAGATTCGGCGTTGTCACTTTCAGGATGGATCCTTACATAGGGTTCTGGAGTATAGTTAAGGGTTTAGGGTTCATGGTTTTAGCCCGGCACCCTAAACCTGTTGGGCTTGGGCCTGCAGGGGGTGCGTGCTTATGTCGGGTTGACTGTAGGCGGTTGAAGCCGGATTACTCAAAGGACAATCAAACCAAAATTAATGCAAACACAAGCTATAAATCCTGAGTGTTTGGTATAGGCCCCTATTTTTGCAGCTTCAACACCAACCTTGAAGAATGTGAGCGCCATGCTCAGCTATAGTGGAGTATATAGCCTGTCGGAGCCACAGGAACACCGTATACAGCCCTTTTTAGTAGCCTTGCGAAACCTACAGAAACGCAGGAAAACAAACGGTCATGGGAGAACGCGGCAGATCTCAGGCCGAGCCTTTGGCTTATGACTACACTCGCCGGCTCTTAACATCCGAGGCCAGCACAGAGGGGAAGTTATTTTGGGTTTGGGGCGCCTTTTTCGGTTTATTTAGGGTTTGGGGTCCTTTTTAGTGCTTGGGGATTACTTACTTCGGGTTTAGTTTTGGGCTTATTGGTTATACTGTAGGAGAGTTTGTGATGCTTTCGCACGCCTGCTCTTCGCCGGCATGAACTTCGAGTGGCATATATGCATTTGCGCAGTTGCATGGTAACTTGTCATGTAGGTTGTGCTTAAGCTTTGGGCGTTGAGGTCGTGGTCTGGCTGGACTCGAGCCCAGTCCTAGCATGATAAGCGCGTTGAGGTCTGGAGTTCGCTGGGGTTTGGCTGATATGAGACTCGGCAGGTGTTCATTCAGAGCGTGGTGAGCTTGGGACTGAATTGTTTCTCGGGGTTCGGGGTTTAGGGCCGTGAGGTCCCTGAGTGAAGTGTCCGTGCATTGCAGAGAACCCGGGGCTAGAAGTGGTGTGCGTTAGGGAGTGAGTATAGGGTGCCAGTGACCAGTTTCCCGGTCTCGGAGCCAGACACCGACGGGCACAGTGCCTACTGAACCCTCGAGCGACAGCAACGCGCGGCAGTGGAAGGTGTGCAAACTTGGAAACCTTCTTGGTGGCGCTCAATTAACATGGGCTCGCGCATCCTGGAAAGCCACGGCAAGCCCTAAACCTCGAGCTTCTGTTGGTAATCTTCTTCTTGATGGCATCGTTCAGTGTTCAGCTTCGACCTTATACCTAGTAGCAACGTCGTAGTAGAGTAGGTCACCTTTAACCTTTTTGGGGTACCCGGGTACTACAATCCCTATATATCGCCAAGACTGGACAAGGGACAAGTAAGTATATGAGAGGGAGTGACAGAGGGCTCAACTCCCAGCCTGTAGCCACCCTGCACGACGGTTTCGATGAGCCTATGAACTGTGTGTCGTGTGTGTGTGTGTAGATTATAGATGTGGAGATTCGCAGTTCGTCTATCTAGTCGTTCCTTGTCCCGAATCCTTGCGAAGTATGATGACAGTATTTGGAGTTCTGGTCGGCCTGACAGGCGACTGCACACTGTGTGCAATTCAGTAGGCATCCTTACCTCCTCTCGACGACGAAATGAGCCTTTGACAGCACCCTAGATTCCCTAGATCCGAAATCCTCAACTCTGAACCCCTGAGGGTCCATGTGCCCAAATAGCATATACTTTGGCCTGAAAGTAGTCCCCAATCACATGCTTTAGGGGCAAAGTAGGCACATGGGTCCTTAGGGAACTAAACCGGTCCCGATCTTTTAAGATAGAGCCGGGATGCATTGACTCGAGGCAGATGCGGTGGCCCAAGAGCTGAACCACATTGCAGGCACGGTGCCCGAAGCCTGGACCCTAAGCCCATAAGACTGCCCTGTGTCGGGTTTAGAGATTGGGGTTCAGGGCCCAGCTTTGGGGCTTTAGGGTTTAGAAGTTTAGGGTTTTGCGCACCAGAAGTCCCAGCTGCAGAAAGGGCAATAGCTCAAGCCCGTGGAAGAAAGGGTACTCGTAGTGAGCAATACCCTTAACGTACTGCAAAAAAGCACCACTAATTGTTGGTCCCCCGACTGATCAGGTGGGCAATCACGGACGAGGCGCCGGTGCTGCGAAGCCTCGGTTCTTGTTAAAGAATTTAACTTGCCTTAACTACGATAATCAGGAACCCTATTGATTACTACTGGTATAGATCCCTATTGCGGCAAGTCCGTTCTCAAAAAAAGCTCTCGGAGCCCGAAGACCCGTGGGTGCCGTTTTTATGGTCTCCTTGCGCTGAGGATCTTGCGCTGCAAGCCTTTTTCAAAGATGCCTTTTCCCTGGGTTTGTGCTGAAACGGGGTTACCGGTCAGGGTTGCGCTGGAATCGCTGAAGCCTCGCCTGTCCGGGCTGTCCGATTGCAAGCGCGTTTTCTCTTGAAGGTGGCCCTCGGAAGGAGCTGCATTCTGCTCAGTTCGAGAGGCGTCCGAGACCTGGTAATTCGAGGCTTAGGGTACAGGGTGGGCTATCGCAGGCCTGAGAGTGGAAGTTTCGGAGGGTTTAATTTTCAGATTTACAGTTCAGGCTTATATAATTGTATGTAATATATATATATATATATATATAATTATTTTAGGGAGAGAAAGAAGAGTCTAAGCCAGAAAGGGCTCTCATCCCCGGGCTCTGAATCATCTGAGGGCCTGCAGAGGCCCTTTTACTGGAACGGGGCGATCGGAGCCCTAAGAACGGGAGGCATCTTCGGGGGTTCTTCCCAAGGGACCACCCGGTACTATAGGAGCCTGAATATCTACCAATACTTATTTTGTGGGTTCCTTATTATAATAATAGTATAGTGGGCCCCAAAACCCTATTCGAATTACTAAGGCCCATCAACCCAAGAAGTGGGTAGCCTGAGGACCCTGCAGCCTGAATTCTCAAGACCCTACTTGAGCCAGAAGTCCCAAAGTTCGACAGAAGCAGCCCTGTTAGGGTTTAGGGTTCAAGCCGCAGCTTCCGGTTCCTGCAGGACTCCAGTCCAAGCCTAAAGCGCCATGCGCGCCTTCTACGCAAAACCCTGCACGCCTTAAAACTTAAAACCTCATGGACCCTAGACCCCCAACCTCTTAACACCCTTGTAGCCGCAGCAGATCCAGAATCAGTGCGACAAAAGCCAAAAAAAGCATCCTTAGGCGACATCTGACGGTACAGAATTCACAGAAAGCCGCATGCAGGGCCCTCGAACCCTAGAGATCCTAAAGCCCTCAGATTAATCCTGAAAAGCGCCCTTACCTAGAACCCCGAAACCATGGTAAGTTTTTGGTCGTTTCGAAATGGGCATTTTGCGCGTAAAAAAAACATCCGGGCGTAAATGTGCGTAACCCTGAAATCTGGGTCTTTGAGTGGGGTACCATATATATAGCCATCAGCCTATGAAATTCCTGAACCCAGCCACGCCCGTAGAATAACCATAAATTTCGTGAATGCACCCAACGACCATAAAAAACTAGAAATAACCATAAAAAACCATAGAAAAACCGTAGAAAAACCGTAGAAAAACCATAAAAAACCGTAAAAAAACAAAAGCCATAAATTCGCACCGAAAAATAAGCGTAGGAAATGCGTAGAAAAAGCG